TTTTTTACCATTTCTTTTTTATCCGAGAATGAAAGGACATATCTGAGTTCAGTTTATTTCAAACTGACATCCTTTCGAAATTAATATAATAAGGTTAGCTTAGGTTTTTCTCGATAGAAACGTCGAAAAAATCAGTTTTTATGTTTTCTTCAACTATGACGCTCCAAATTGAAAAATCTGAAAAAATTCACGAACGATTATTACAACAATATATCGATACCGTAAAAATATAACCTCTAGACTTTTCACATGAAATCTGCATTTTTTCGATCATTTTGAGATTCTTCAGCTTTTGCAAGCAGGATTTTCAATTAAAAAATCTGAAACGTATTGCAGAGTATGTATTTTGATGCTTGACATGTCTCAGATTCGTCTTCAAATTTCTAAACACCAATAATTAGAGAAAATAGATCAAAAACTGACTTTTCGATCTTATCCCATAACTTACATCCCGATCGAGATATCCGATCGAAATTTTACACGGTACGTTTGATGCGCATAATTCGGCTCGAGGGCAACATCCGCTTCCTTATCCGCGTCTGTAGCCTTCAAAAGAATTTAGTACCGTTTATTGGAATTACCGATATCTAAGAATGGTATCACTGTGAAATAATAACGGTTTTGTCACGAGGAAATAAGCGTTCTAATATCGCTAATATCGACTACCGGGATGTTCAGGTTTGAAACAAAACGCGTTCAGGGTTCACTGGCCTTTTTTGTTTTATCGATCGATATGCGTTCGACCGAGTGGACGAGGAGACACTCTTCATCAAGCTCGTGTCGTGATTAGCCGCCTAGCTGGGATACGACTCGGTTATTTACGTTTATGTCCTTTTATGTGTCTTTCATATATGTATAATTAAATATCCATATCAACGTTAAATATGTCCTAAACTTATTTCAATTATTATATTATAATATAATTATATTATATTATATGAAATATATAATATTAATAATTATAATAATATATAATTATTATAAAAGATATGAAATATATAATATTAATAATTATAATAATATATAATTATTATAAAAGATATGAAATATATAATATTAATAATTATAATAATATATAATTATTATAAAAGATATGAAATATATAATATTAATAATTATAATAATATATAATTATTATAATAATTATATATATTATTATAATAATAATATTAATAATTATAATATATTAAAATATATATTATATATAATATTATATATAATATTTATTTCAATTATGCCAGTTATCCAATTTTGACAAGCTCAAAGGTAAAAATATGAAAGGAACTACGGCCATTTACCAATTATGTGCCGATAATTGCAATGCCTAGCGGAAGACCGTAGTGAGAGAGGCATTGACAAGTCCGCGACAAGCAAAATCCCAAAACGACACACAATCCTCGGTCAAGCACGATAGCCTTGATCCTTTTCTCGTAACACCAAGTAACGAAGCCGCGAGAGGTAAAAAAAAAGCGAAGCCAGCCTCTTTCCAATCCAACAACCTGCCACCTCGTTTCCTCCATTTTTCTTCGGTTTAATTCTGTTCCAGGCAGTGTCCGTAAGACGCAACAAGTCTCGGACGGATTAGGTATTCGCGGGAAATAAATCGCATCGACATACTAGAGCTTTGGAATTCATTCCCCCCTCTCCTATTAATCGGCTAAGGAAATAACTGCCGCGATCAAAAACGACTTCTCCACGCAAGGAGAAACAATCGTTCGGATCAGGGTGTTCGGAACACGGCAGACCACGGATTGTTTTCGCAATCAACCACTCTATTCCAGGTGTTCGGTTCGCAACATTCCTTGCGTCGGCGTCTCTGCGCGTTCCTTTCTTTCTTTTAGCAAAGCCGGAAACACAGAAGACAAATATTGTTGCGCATATATCGATAACGGTAATAGAATCCTCGCAGTTTGATACCGTGCGCGCGCGCTCGCGCGCGGTTTTCTCCTGCTGTGCGAGAAAGAATGTCGTTGTTGTTTGCGCAGCCGGTGGCTGTGTATTTGCGCGTTACAGTTCTGTTTGCTTATCCGGCGTAGCCGGCAGCAATGTTTAAACAGCAACACCGCCGATGAAAAACGCCGCGGGCGTTTCATTTTTTTCGACGGAGGTATTTCGAAATTCCGCGATTCGGGGGTGGTTCCTTCGGTCGCGGCGTAACGGGAAGTTCGTTTACGTTTGGTGTTTAGCCATAACGGGCTTTAAAGCGTTACCGTGACTCTCGTTAAAAGTTCCGACTTGGAACCGCATATACTTATCCGCTTACCGCGCGGAGCTTAGTTTATGGAACGCTTTAAGAAATTCCGTTCCGACGCCTTAAGGGCAGATTAGAGTTTGCGAAACCTTTCAGGAAATTCTGTCCTCTGTTCGTCACGGCGCACGGTGTTCCCAAACGGCGAGATCGCGGTTAAAACCGCACAAAACGTCTCTCGATTTAATTAGAAATCAGTGTTTCGGGGTTCTCGGGGTCGCCGATCACGATTCTGAAGTTAACAAATTTTTGAAAACACCAAATGACAAACTTAATGTGGTGGATATATGTGTTAGGTGTTGTAATACCGTTAAAAATGGCGAAAGTTTCTTTCATATTTTTACCGATTATTCGAGTCTGCAACACCGGTAATTCCGGTAAACAGTGATACATTCTTTTAAATTTGAATAAAAAAGGCTGTATATGCGCGATGTTTCCAAATGGAATTAAGTTGAACGAAGTCGCTGGTTGCTTTTATGTACACTTTAATATTACAGTACTATGGTCTTAGCGATGCGTTATTTGCGTTTTATCTGCGTTCTTAGAGTTCTACGAGTTCTGGGAGTTCTAACAGTTCTGGGAGTTCTAACAGTTCTGACTAACGTTCTAGGTGCCCTTCCGCTTGTCACCTCGGTTTTTTTGTTGATTGGTGGATGGTGGGTTTTGATGGAGGAAATGAAGCGTTTTTGATTGGAGATGGGTGTGTCGGAAGGAACTTGAAATGAGGAGTGGGAAACTGTTCGAAAGTTCGGGTTGTAATTTTTCCGTTTTGTGAAATATGGAATTTATGAGTCGGTCGCGCGTGTTGTCCGTTCGTCGGGTCGAAGGGTATTTTCGTTCGGATGCATTTTTTACTGTCGCAGGTATATTGCTTAATTGCTCAAGGGATGGCCAGGGATGTTCGACCTTCGGTGTTGCCGTCGCAACAAAGACAACTGAAATATCGGAAGAAGTAAACGTAATAGAAAATAAAGCTAAAAATGTAACACAAGTCATTAAAAAAGAAATGATATATCTTCGGAAAGAGTGGGTTAAAAGAAGATATACAAGAGTGAGTCACAAATTAGTTCTCACAATTTTTTAACCCCTTCCGATGGACTGACAAAAAAATGTTTCCCATCAAAGTTAATTAGTATTTAACCGACAAGAATATGCAATCGTTTGAACTTAAAAAGAAATTGATTTTCGATGAAGAAACAAAGTCGTCGTTATATTTTTGAATGAAACTAGGTAATTGTAACTTCATAATATTTGTTCGTTTTTGTTTACATGCGAATTATTTCAAATATTGTGGCAATTATATCATCGTATGACATAATTGAATTGTTGAAATATAATAGCTGAAATAGTTGAATTCGTCTCGATGTCGCCTATAGTACTATCAAGTTAAAATTGCCTGGTATCGTTTAAAAATATAACGGTGACTTTGTTCTTTTATCGAAAAGCAATTTGTTTTTAAATTTAAACGATTGCAATTTCTTGTCGGTTAAATACTAATTAACTTTAATAGGAAACATGTTTTTGTCAGATCATCGGAAGGCGCTGAAAAATCGTGGGAACTAATTCGTGACTCACCCTGTATACAAATGGCGTTTGATGTCTTAATGATCAGTCGACCTAACCAGTGTAGAAGTTGAAAGAGCTGTTTCCGCGGCTGGATTAATCTGTATGAAAATTAGGTCGCAATTAAGAGATGACAGCCTCGATAGATCATTTCGCCCTCCGCGCTTAATTTTTTAAAATAGCTGACAAATAAGCGAAAGTGTTTATGCTTTCGAAATTAATGCACCTTTTATTTGTTACATATATTTTATAATTAATTTATATTTAGAATAAAATTTTATATGTTTTTATTCTTCTGTAACACTTGATTACTTGTTAATACGATCTTTACTATTAATACTTACTATATTTTGATATCGATAGCTTTTTGGAAATGCAAAATGCCGATAAACTGGTATTGATGAAAAATTGCACCGAATTAACGGTAATTGAAAAAGTTGTTTTTACGATCCCTAATATGTGCAGCAAAAAATTGTTTATCTCTCTAAAATACGTATACAGGAGTGTTTTTAACGAAATGATCTAACGATGAGGTGAGGTACGATGAGTTTTCCATATTATTATAGTCCGTATAAACTTATCATATTAATTTAAGGAATTGCAGTTGTCTTATTCTTTTTTATTTAACCGTGTATCAATCCAACTTCCCGTACAAATTCAATAAACAAACAAATAAGCAGAGTAACAATTAATCATTACATATAAATATTCTACTTGACTTCACAAATAGCATCCATTTTACAGAATTGAAATTAAGTGGCTGTTTTCAGAATTGTGCGCCTCTAACTTTACGCTTCCGCAGCATTTTTCGCACCACGATTAATCCACGGCAAATGAAGAAAAACTGTGAGCTCTGGCCATTTTGCAGATATGAGTAATAAAACATCCGTATCTCGGGTTTTCCACATTATTAGAGGATCAAAAATTGTACTTATCCAATCCTTCCCCCCCCCCCAAAAAAGTTAATTTTTACGGATTTGCCCACGATTTCGTCGTTCATAAGCGCTGTGCAGCGCGTTGCGTGTGCTCGGACTTTTCTTCATGCTGCCGCGGCCGCGAATCTTGTTTGTTTTCGGTTCTGTTTCTTCCAGCGGATTGTATACATCTGAGAAAAACGATGGTGCTCGACAAAAATGATAAACGCGAGGGATGTTTGCATCTAACGGCCGTTGTTTCTCTCGTTTTGCAGGCGGACTTCTCCTGTAAAAACACGGAGCAGACCGTGGGCGCGATTTATACTCGCACGAACTTCGTAACGCTGAAATACGTCACCGACTCCTGGGGCACTAAAGCAAATGGCTTCCGTCTCGTTATCACTGCCGTCAAGGATCCCAGTGAGTACTCTTCTTTACGTATACACACAATTTCTCTTTTTCATTTACTTGTGCAAGCTAGAAAATCGGGATCGGCCCATTATGGTGCACGAGGCGCCCCAAAGCGGTAAATAGTGCTGACAAAAAATACGACATAAAGTAATATAAAATATGATATAAAACGAAAAATGTGCAGACAGTTAGTTGAACGTTTGAATCAGAATGTGGTATAATTCGTTTTTCATTTTTATGAATTATTAAACACGGCTACACAACTCCAACGGATTCGATGAAATTTACAATTAATTTTTACTGACTTATGTGTGTCATTTAATATTTTTATTTTCATCTTAATCCCTTGCACGAGATGACTGGTTTTTTATTTCTCTTTTACAATTACGGATACTATAAAAATGTTTCTATAAGAGATTTTTAAATAAAAATTTATCTAGAAAAAAATTGTACGAAGCTTAAATAAATTTAATCTTGTTATTGTTATAAACCAGTACACATTTGGTCGTGTTTGGGGCTGGGTAGTTCTATTGTTAACGAAACTGGAATTGCGTACGAAAATGTCTAGCAGTACTGGAATCAAGCTTTTACAAAGACTTAACATTAAAAATTCATTCGTTTTTAGTTTTTACGAAATTATATATTTAATATTTGTATTTTATAATTATATTTTTATTTGCAAATGTTGTTAAAAATAGATGCTGTTTTTACTAATGTGTCCCCCGCGTGTCAAATTGATACTACTGTAAAAAAAATAAACAAAATAATCAACATATTTACATCATTTTACGTTATATGTTTTTTCATCGATAACAATGGATATGTATGCTTTTCATTAAAAAGATAAAAGTCATAATGTCCGAGATAAATTTCTCTAAAGATAGCAAAATAAGATCACATATAGGAAGCCTCATTGTAAAGTACCAAGAAGCTTTGTTATTAAATGTTCGATTTCGATTAGAAAATATTCGTCACCGTTTCGGGATAGTTTCTGTTTCATAGCGCAATTATGTGCGCGTTTCAAAAATTTCTTTGATTGTCCCATCCGCCGAGCGAGAATTCTCGTAACACAGCTACAATTCCCCCCCCCCCCCCCCCCATTTACGAATATTGCGATGCAAACGAGTTGGAATGAAGTTTCAGTTTCGAGCGACTTTCCGTAAGAAAGTAGAACGACCGTCCTTTCTTTCGCAGATTCGAGAAAGCTCTCTTTTGAGAATGTTCTGCCCGAGCCGGTTCCGCTTAATGAAGTGGTTAATGCCCCGTGATTAAAAAAGAACTCTCCGCGAGCCGGACGGAGAAAGAAATTCGTCGCGGAACGTTTTTCCATTGTGCCGTCGCTGATAAGATTCTCGTTCTGCTTCGAACTCGTTTCGAAAACGCGACCGAAGAGTTGACAATTCCGCGGGGGGGTTGGAACTCGACGCGAAAAGCGATTTTATCGACGCAGGGAATCACGCGAGATGAAACTATGCTCGTGACCGGTTGTCACGAAAGAGTTGAGATGCCAATTACGGGGCCGAAACGGAAACAAATTCGATCCGAAAGATATTGCAGCGGGCGAGCTCTGAAACTCGCGGAACGTTGGACGGAAATAAATGTGGAACAGTAAGTTAACAACGCCGCTTATTATAACGGCGTTCGAATAACGGTCTCCCGTTATTTTGTGGAACGGTTTCAATGCCCCCGGTAATTTTTAATTAACAGCAACGCCATGACGGAAGATAATACTGTCATCCGGTCGAATAAAATTCGCTTCTCTCCAGCCGTTCTCAGTTGGAAACGAGTAAGATCGTCGTCCGGGAAATCTCGGTGAAATTCTAACGCTGAAACTCCGTGATAAATTAAACGCGACGTTTCGCTTCCAGCACGAATTTTCCTGCCGGCTCCCGGTTCTCGGTTCTAGGGGGGGTTGAAAACTACGAGTGTACAAGCCGAGACGAGAGCTACGAGCTCGGAGCTGGATCTCTGGAAAACAGATTTACTGAGCTCCTTTCCCCGGCATCGATCATCGGGCCACTGAAAAAGTCTTTTATTCCGCAGCGCCGGTGTTTCAAGTTAACAACAACCCTTGTCCGTCGTCGAACAAGTTTGTTCACCATTTTCTCTCACTCCCCCTCTCACTCCCCCCCTCTCTCTCTTTCTCTATTTTTGTTCAGTGTTTAATCAGTTAGCTGTTGAAACGCTTGCACCTAAAACATGTTGCAAAAAGTAAGAGATGAAGAATATACTATCTAACTCAGACACTAAATGTATACTGGTTTTTCATAATAATTATTTATATTGCTTCATTTGTTCGTTTCATTTAATCTTGGCCTCCAAATATTCGAAACATCTTAAAATTTACGAACATGCAGGGTGTTCGTCCATAAATGACCAAGTGAACATCTCGTAAATGGTTGAAGAATCAAAAAGGTTTAATAGAAGAAATGTACACGGCTTTAAGTCGGGTACAAGGTGCGGATAAATTATTTGTTTCTATTTGTAACTTTTCTGAGCTATGAAGGTCAACTGACAAGAGGAAGTCCTCAGGGTGACGCTCACTTTTCAATGAGATTTGGTACAGTGATAGAGTTTGTAAAGTAGAATCCGATGACACCCGGCTTTAGCGGCAGACGGCTTATAGTTTTTAAGATAATTATAATGTTAAAGTTGGTAATAAAATAACAGAAAGATGCAGTGAGACCCCCGCCTCCACTTCTGTTTTATTAGCAACTTTTGTAATCAATCGAATTAATTGGAATCACAAATACGAAAATATTGTATAAATAATATTAGAAAATGTCTTGGAAACTAAGTTAAAATCAAAATGGAATTCTATAGATGCAGATTGCATGAAAAATTACTTGAATTAATGCCGAGAAGATTGACAGAAGCAATTAAACAAAATGGTTATCCAGCAAATATTTTCGTATTAATTGTTATCTTTTTTCGTTAACAATAAATATTGGTATATTTTCGTATTGCTTAGTTAATTTGGAGTGTAAGAAATATATTTTGGGAACGAACAAGAATCGTGAAAATTAAAAAACATAACCTCGTGCCAATAATTCTGGGACTCGCTGTAGTTTGGAATCTCTTGAGAAGATTAGGATATTTTCTGCACGGCCTTGCGGCGTTAACTTCGACAAGGAGAATTAAGGTTATATCTTCTTCTTCCGTTTTAGTATTTTCTGCATTCCGATAGTAGGTGATCGACTGTCAGCGCTTGGTTACACAAGTTACAGAAATGAGCCGTTTATTTTGAAAATGGCATAAGTCACTTTACCGTAATGAAAAGTGGTGATTTCTTAATGTTTATACGAAATTATTTATACTGAGAAAAATATCAGTATCCCGAGATAACAAATACAAGTAAATCTTCTCGAAAGTTAGCATCCATATTTTTAAACGTGTTAGAACGCAAACCCTTAAATGTATCGATTTAAAAACAAAGTGACTTACGCCACTTTCAAAATAAACGGCTCAAATGTGGTTGTTCCGTTTTCTTGTACAGGTGTATTCGCGTGTCATTTTACAGTGTCCTAAACCGAAAATTTATTGCACGAGGATGGCCATCTGTTTTGCAGTTAGACCTTTTTAAATCACTAATAGTGCTTTGTGGCTGCATCCTATAACCACTGCAACATATCTCGTTGGCCGTTTCCATTCTCGAGAAGCCCAATGACGCTTAACCCCTTGACATGCAATGACGAATTGGGATCGTCATTCATTTCGTGTGCCACTGTACACTTCGACGAGTCTAACTCGTCAAGAGCTGTTTTCGGCGGACGCCGTGCAGTATATTATTAAATTACTCAGTTGCTTCACTCGTGCGTCGATTCTGGTTTGTTTACAATGTTCAAGATGCCCCACCCTCCCACCTTCTCGACAACATCAATAACATTCGCAAATCAAAATAAAACATTCTCTTTCTCAGCTTGCACATAACTGTTCAGTCGAACCAAATTAAATAGTATATTTCGGATGCGTCAAATTCTTATTTGTATTGTTATGTATATGTATATTGTATTATTATTATTTGTATTATTTCTTATTTGTATCTTCAAATTTGTATTTGTATATCAAGAGGTTAATTTAACGTCGTTGGAATACTATTTGCACGGAGGTACATTGTATCGCGCATATGTCGCTTACTTCTTCACTGAATGGGACACACGGCCGACTAAATTGATATCCTAAAAGCAACAAGCGTTTTTGCGCATTTCTGCGGCGACCTTCTGTGTTTCTATTCCGCCTCCATGCTTCGTACACTCAAAGAGCTATTTAATCGGACCATGATCGGAAAATTCTTTTCAGTATCTCTACTGACCGGCAACTTTTTTCCGTGCAACATTTACCTTTTTTCACTCGCGTGTCGTTGTTATTAAATGGAAGTTCGTGTATCATCCTTGTTATTTATTTTATACCAAGCTCCCCTCGACTCTCCGTTACGTACAATCACGAACAATAGTATTTTACATTTCTAGACAATCGAGGTGTTTTGTTTAACACTAGAAAGACTGAAACTTAGTATATACCTATATTGCCCATTGTGAAAGAATAACTAATGTGTAAAGAAATTTGTTTAAAATTAATTTTTAATATTTTCTTATATTATTTGCAGTTATATAACAGGTTATTAGTAAATATTAACAATAAAAAGAATTTAAGATACGAATAACAGGTACTACTTTAGCTTATCGAGCAACTGCAACTTATCTAGTATATGCCCAAATCGACAATTTATCATGTACTTGTATGTTATCATGTAACGGTAATCGAAAAAAATGAAAAATGTTATTTCAATACAGAGCCGAACTGGTTATATAAGAAATTTACTCAATTCAATGATAAGAGTCATTTGATTATTTTAAATTTCCCAAGCAGTCGAAACGGCTGCTTTTGGGCAACATAGGTATAACACATATATTAGGTCTACCGGAAAGTTCTGTCCGTTTTTTAATTGAAATATAACACAATTTTCATACATTTAATAATATTTATTGTAGAATATACTTTCCATCGTT